GGTCATAAGTAAGACTTCATACCCTCGTTTCCTTAACACCTCAACAAATGGTGAGTTTTCAACAGCTTGACGGTTTTCTCCTGTAATGTAGTAAATATCTTTTTGTTTTTCTGGCATACGTGTTACGTAATCTTTGAGAGAGGTAAGTTCATCGGTACATTTTGTGGAATAATAACGAAGGAAATCAGCTAATTTGGCGCGATTCTGAGAATCTTCGTGAATTCCAAGTTTAATGTTTTTGGCAAATGCTTCATAGAATTTTGAGAAATTCTCTTTATCCTCGGCAATCTCATTGAAGAGTTCCATACATTTTTTCACTATGTTTTTACGAATAACTTTAAGAATCTTGTTCTGTTGAAGCATTTCTCGAGAAATGTTAAGTGGTAGATCCTCTGAATCGACTATTCCTTTGATGAAGTTAAGATATTCGGGAATTAAATCTTCACAATCGTCCATAATAAAGACACGGCGTACGTAAAGCTTAATGTTGTTGCGTTTTTTCTTGGTTTCAAAGAGATCAAATGGTGCACGACGTGGGACGAATAGAATTGCTCTGAATTCGAGTTGACCTTCGACAGAAAAATGTTTTACGGCCAAATGTTCTTCCCAGTCATTAGTAAGTGACTTATAGAATGCCGCATATTCTTCGTTTTTAATATCATCTGGATTTCTTGTCCAAATGGGTTTAGTCTTGTTCAGCTCTTCGGTTTCCTTTGTTTTTTCTTTGACCTTTTTCGTTTTTTTCTTATCCTCTTCATCTTTTACTTCGGTAATTTTAGTTGTTTGATCCTCATCTCCATCTCCATCCTCTTTGTCTTCTTTAACTTCTTCTTCTTCTTCTTCGCCTTCATCTGGGACTTCCTTTTCTACTTCCTTTTCGACAATGAGTTGAATTGGATAACCAATGAATTCGGAATGCTTCTTGACAACCTCCTTAACTTTACGTTCTTCAAGATACTCTAATTGATCTTCTTTAAGAAACAGTTTAATCATTGTACCTCGTTCAAGGGGTTCATTAACTGTATCACGAGTGATGGTGAATGATCCACCGGCTGCCGATTCCCAAATGTACTGTTCGTCGTCATTGTGCTTTGTGATCACTTGAACACGGTCCGCAACCAAGTAGGCAGAGTAGAAACCCACACCAAACTGACCAATCATAGAAATGTCAGCTCCAGATTGTAAAGCTTCCATGAAAGCCTTTGTACCTGAACGAGCAATAGTACCAAGATTGTTCACAAGGTCGGCCTAATAAAGTATGTATTCCAATTGTTAATAAAATCAACAATCATTTTCTAATGACAACTTTCGATCATTTGGGAGTGATGATACCTTAGTCATGCCAATTCCGGTATCCCGTAAAATAAGAACATTATTTTCCTTATCTGGAATGATTCGAATATAAAGTTCGCGACCACTATCAAGTTTTGAAGGATCAGTAAGTGATTCATATCGAATCTTATCCAAAGCATCTGAAGCATTAGAAATTATTTCACGAAGGAAAATCCTACATAATGAGATTCAAAAATAGAAATGGTCAGTAAACGCGATATCAAACATATTATTTTAAGGGCATGCTTTCGTTGATAGTCAACACAAATATAATCAAGTCTATAACAAAACCCAAACTTACTCTTTATTTGAGTAGAAAGTGTTAATAATAATTGACATAAGCTGAGATATCTCAGCTTGGAAGGCAAATTGTTCGACTTCAGCCATTTTTGCGTAAATACGTTATATGTATAAATACTGTTGGACTGTTTATAAACGCTTATTGCCTTTTGAAAAAAATTTTTTTTTTTTTATAAAAACAGGGAAACCACAGTTTGTGTTTTGTAGAAAAAAAAAATTCCTTTGAGGAAAGAGTAAGGTCGTGAGTAATTTCTTATTTTATATATTTGCGGATAAGAGCGGAGTATTCGTGGCAAACTTTCTATGAGATTCTATGGGACAACATTTGTACGAGATCAAATGTTCCAATCAATGTAGATCATCGTCATCAAATACACGCGTTGGAAGGTTCCAGCAATTTGGAGATTACTCTACAATATCGATATCTGTGATTCCGGAGTTTTACGGCCTATCATTATTGCATTATCGATTATCGTTTATCTGTAAAATTCGAGAAATTTGCATTGTCTCAATAATCACAAAATAATTATGGTGTAGCTTCAAAAACTATATTCCGATTCAGTAATTCAATCACAGATCAGCCTGCGGGACGGTGTAAGGGAATAGCAATGGTTATTCAAAGCCAAAAATAAAGTTGCATAACATGTAATTCTTGAATCTCAATCTTATTTAGGGTGATGCAAACGGAAGGCTCGACTTGGACCATCTTACAGTAATAAGCTAATCCCGATTCTTTTGCTTTCGGCTTTACTAAGAGCTATCTTATAAGTCGACCATCTTCGAGCCGATCTTATCCGAGCCGTTACTCTAAGAAACGTGTTTTAGATATCAGTTCCGTTATATCCATTATACAACACAATAGGTTTGAATTCCATTATGACT